ATGATAGAGAGCGTTAATAGATAATTTAAATAATTTGACGAGTGGTGAAAATTATTGTTCAATCATTTATTTATAGATTATATCGACGTTTCGAACCATTAAATGTTCATTTTCAAGACACAACCGAGTACTGCTGATGTATTATGAGTACATGCACAATCTTTTCATTTTAATTTTCTTGAAGCTCTTATACACCACGAGATAATAATTTAATTTTTTATTTTAATAAATATGATAGAGAGCGTTAATAGATAATTTAAATAATTTGACGAGTGGTGAAAATTATTGTTCAATCATTTATTTATAGATTATATCGACGTTTCGAACCATTAAATGTTCATTTTCAAGACACAAACGAGTACTGCTGATGTATTATGAGTACATGCACAATCTTTTCATTTTAATTTTCTTGAAGCTCTTATACACCACGAGATAATAATTTAATTTTTTATTTTAATAAATAAATATATGGTGGAGAGCCTTAATTTATTTTGAAATAAATAGAGAAATATAGCGCTGAATATTAAGAATGAATCGTAGTCATTTATTTATTTTACAATGCGTATGTATTTGTTGGGTATTTGGATTCGATTACAATTAAGGAGAAAATTAAGAATAGTTTAAAAAACAAATAAAATATTCTAGAAAACGGTATTTCATGATAATGAGATGAACTCTGACTGATGCTTATTGAAATTTAAAACGAAAAAAAAAAGTTTTTTGTATGGTACTGTGAATTAGTTGTTTGGGGGATTCGCTTATGAATTCCAGATTATTAGCCATATTTGTGAGAGATTTTAGTTGTTGTGATGTTTTTTTTGTGAGGTGATGCCATCGATGTTGATGTTTGGTGTTGATGGTTGTGTTTCTGCTGTTCTTGCTGCTGCTGCTGTAGCGATTGCACGTGTTATAGTTGCACGACGGAAAAAAGAAAATAACTTATTTTAATTTTTCTTGGCCGTTGTCTTTATGAAATGGGAGACCAAAAGGACGTGCTAGAATGTTAGTATGCAAAGAAAAATAAAGAACATGTTTTTATTCATATGAATGGAAGTTTTGTTGTGAGATTTCATAAAATCAAAAAAATGTATTAATAGTCACCGTTTCGTTCAACTAATTGATGATTTTCAAGAAGAAGAACCTTGTACTGCAAAAGTATCAGAAGTACTACTTATTCCTAATCTAATAATAATTGAAGCCTGAAATCACGAGAATTAATTAAATAAACTAATTTTTAAAGAAAAGTCAATATATCGATATAAACATATATTTGGTGGAGAAATGTGTTTTTAAAGAAAGATTTTATTACTAGTCGATGTTTCGAGGAACTAAGTGAATAATATGGAGTGTTGGATCGCAGCTAATTTTTTTTGTTGCGGAATTCCATGATGTTACTCTAATGAGTAATGTTTTAAGAATTGGTTTATTTGATGTATAGCTTAGTACTTTTCTTGTATTTTTTAAGCGGTACAATATGGGTAGTTCAACATATTATCAGGGTTACGTTTGCCTGGTGTGTTTTCGAGCTTCTAATATATATGTTGATCATTTCTTTGTTCGTCTGTTTTCTTCTTCTTTTTCTTTTTTGTTATCGGTAGTCGATTCTCGTTCATCTTTTCATTCTTGATGCAGTGGTACATTTTTCTCTATTTTTTCCACATGGTAGAAATTGTTTTATCGCATTTTGTCTGTTGTGTTTTTTTTAGTTCTCCAGTGTTATTCTCTCTCTGTCTTCACTGTTCTGTTTCTCATAATATCGCACGTGGTTTTTTTTTTAATTTGGTGGTGAATCATTTAAAATAAAATACTATGTTGTTCAAAGCGGTGTTACTCTGTAAGTACTTGCTTAAATTTTTACCATTATCAGTTGCGAATGTCTACAATTATCTATGGCGACACTATGGTCTAAATACTAGTCAACTTTTTGGTCAGTTTGTAAAAGAACAACTTCGAATACGCAGGTTAAAAAGTGCTATTGGTTTTATTCTCACATGTAAGAATGAAAACTTAATACCTATTTTCGCTCAAGTTCGTTTGGCAAATCCGTATATAGCCGATGCTAAACTAAGGCAAAAGTGCGCTCGTAATATTTTGCAGGCTGAAATGAAGTTCAAGCAGCGTCTTTTGAGTCGAACTACAAAATATTTGAGACGACTGGACGCCGAATTAAAACAAAGTGTCTCTCATATTATTTATGTTCGTTTACAATCTATTTCACAAGAGATTCAAGAAAAAAAGATGGACGAGATTGAAAGAACACACGAGACAAAACTCAATGGTTTACGTAAAAAAAACAAAGACGTGCTCCACAACGACAGATTCTTGACCCGGTAACAAATCGCCCACGTCAGATCGTCGATCCGGTGACAAATCTTCCGCAGGAGATGGGCGATCCGGTGACAAATCTTTCAAAATACAACTTAACCGATAGCGAGCATGATGATCTAGTTAATGGATTAAATCATGTATATCCACCTGAAAAACTCGATCAACCACAGTTCATATGCAATATGGAATATTTTTATGCACGTCTTTTAAATGTACGAACTGCTTATCGGCATTACGAACAGAAACCATCCACTGAAGCTGTTCGTCATCAATTAACATCAGTACAATTGAGTGCTGCATCTGAATTACGTGAGACAGCGAATTCTTTTCGAAAAGTTGCTCAATCTGAACTGAAGAAAATTGGTGCCGAACATCGTAAAACTTTTAGTACTCTTCGTTCTCTCGCTAAAAATAAATCGATCATTATTACTCGACCTGACAAGGGACGTGGCGTGGTTATCATGGATCGTGAAGATTATGTAGAAAAAATGAATGCAATACTCGACGATCGATCTGCTTTCACCTTAATCAATTACGATCCAACCTTAGATACTGAAAACGAACTAATTAAGTTTCTGCTCGTCTTAAAAAAGGAAGGTTTTATTAGTGATCAGGAACACAAGTTGGCGTCCCCCAGTGGATCAAGACCAGCTCGAATATACGGTGTACCTAAATTACATAAAAAACGAGAGAACTATCCTCTTCGACCTGTAATGTCAGCTACAAAAAACAGTAGCTTATGGACTCGGTAAAATGTTGGCTAATCGATTGAATACACTCCGTACAAGCCCGTATATGATCAAAGATAGATTTGATTTTGTTCGAAAAATCAGAAAATTAGAACTCGGGGATAAAAAAATGATCTCTTTTGATGTTACGAGCCTGTTTACTAAAGTTCCACTGACATACACTATTGACTTGATACTCGATAAAATGTACCCTACGTGTTCTTCCATGTGTAAATATAAACAAAGAAGTCGTCTTTGTGAAAAGTGCAGGAATAGATCGGATTTTCAACATCTTCTTCGCTTAGCAACATCAAAAACTCACTTTATTTTCGATAAAAAAATGTACGTTCAACATAACGGTGTTGCAATGGGTGCTCCTCTGGCTCCAATAATTGCCGACATTTTTATGTCGCATCTCGAGGAGAGTTTGATGGATCACTTGAAGCAAATTGGTGTTTGTGAGTGGTATCGATACGTCGACGATACATTTGTACTTGTTGAACCTACAACAAAAGTAGAAAATGTAATCAAAATTTTAAATAATTTTCATCCATCTATCACTTTTACTCATCAACTAGAAACAAATGGTTCTCTTCCTTTTCTCGATGTATGGGTTACCCGGTCACCTGAAACCAAAACATTTCAAACAGCTGTCTATCGAAAAGAAACATTTACTGGTCTAATGATAAAATGGGATTCCTTTGTACCTGGAAGTTACAAAAAGGGTAGCATTGTAACACTAATAAACCGAGCTCTAGCTTCATGTTCTACATACTCGTCATTAGCCACAGAATTCGAGAATATTCGTCAAATCGGTCTCCATAATGGTTATCCATTATCCTTTCTCGATACTCGAATAGGCATCGGATTAAGTAAACACTTGAAGATATCTGTTACCCGCGGTACCACAATTGTCGGCTGCGAAAAAAAACAGATGTATATTGAAATTCCTTATGCTGGTTCAGCGACCGATTCTTTTAAAAAGAAACTATCACGAATCGCTGGAAAAAATCGCCCCGATCTTGATGTCCGCTTCTTCGCCAGACCTCCATCATCCGTTCAAATATTTTTCAACACAAAGGACACAATACCAAAATACCTGCAATCCAACATCGTTTATTCAGTTAAGTGCAGCGACTGTGGTGATATATATGTCGGTGAAACGGAGAGACAAGCAATAAGACGACTATGGGAACATGGAGCACCTAAGTCACTGTTAAAAGAACGATTAATTTACCTTGATCAAAGTACCACGACAAACCACGAAGAAACCGATGCTGATGAACCATCACCTACCGAACCAACTCGAAGAAAATGCCAATATCTAAAAAAAACGACACGAACTAGATCTACACCCTATCCAAAACCAGAAACTTTGAGATGCCCTACCAGTGTTCGCCTGAAAAACCAACGAACAAACGCTCCAACAACCAACACACACCTAAAACAAAAAAAACCAAACGATGAAAAAGAAAATAACGACAATAAAAAACAATCCAATGAGAGCTCACTATCTCGCCACCAAAAAGAAACCGGACACCAAATCGATTGGGAACGCTTTAAAGTCGTATGGCACGATAGTGATGGCTACAGACTACAAGTAAAAGAATCTTTAGTAATCAAAGCTTATGAAACAAAATTAAATAAAACTACACATTCGGTCCCGATGCTCATTTTTCCCGAAGGACTACCTCCAAACATGATCCCAGACCCGAATTCTAACACTTCACAGCCTCCCAAAAACATATAAACAAACAAAAGACCTTTACTTTACCTACCTCCTCCTCCACGTACGTCATCGAGACTAGTTGAAAAAAAAACGAAAGCATCACCACCATTTCTTACCGATTGGGCAGTACTCGTTTGTGTCTTAAAAATGAACATTTAATGGTTCGAAACGTCGATATAATCTATAAATAAATGATTGAACAATAATTTTCACCACTCGTCAAATTATTTAAAAAATAATGTAGTTTTTCTCTTTTTTGTTGCTCAAATATGAAATTAATATTGTTATCTAATAAACTATTTATTGCTCATTTAATATTATAAAATTGCTCAAATAAAGTTTTCTTATTGCTCGAAAGTTACTGCTAAATCATGTTTTTATTATTGCTCATTCTAATATTTTTATTGCTCAAATAAATACAAGCCTAAAAAAATCATGTCTGTGTGAATCTGGACATGAATGTGCCTTCATTGCACCCAATTTGTTTTGGTGATACATTGGTACAAACTAAAATGTAAATATACAGGATGGTAGAAAACTCCACGTTCTTTCAGAATATGTAATTATTATTAAAAAAATATGTTTTTATAGCTACAATATCTTCGAAAACGGACTCTAACTACTTTTTTTCCGGGCGTATATGTATAGCCACTCATACTAAAAGCCAAAGAAACCTCTGCCTTGTTTATTTTTTATTTTTGAAAATCGATAAAATAAAATAACATCTGTATCACGCTAAAACTGTTTTAGTTCTTCTTGTAAATTTATGTGAACAAAGATACAAAAGCACACGATTTACTATTGGCAGTGTTGAAGTAACGAATCTGTGATAAATAAACTCTCGAGACAATAGACGGCAGATATAATATGAATAAAAATCATCTGTATAACACCAAAGTTGTTGCGGGGTCCATGTGGACCCACACTTCGGTGTTTTACCGGTAAGACTTTTGCACGAAATTTCATATGGCTCTTGTACATCGTTAGAAGACTAACGATTAGCGGAGAGATGGTTCCGAAAAGGATAGATCTTTAAGTAGAAAAAAACGGAAAACAGCGTTGTGGGCCTCGTCTGACCCACAAAAATCGTAGAAGGGTTAAGGAAGATCGAAACACGTGTCATGGCTGCTAGTCACACCCACGCCCGCTAGTTCAAACAGAAGTTGGCTCACATAAAAATGAAGCCGGATAAAACTTTTGTTCGCAAAAACACGGTGCCATTTCTTGTGCTCAACATTTCTGCCAACATACCTCGTCTGAAGTGGTATCAATCATTTTTGTTATTGATCGTTTAGGCCTATTATTACAAAAGTGTTTTGTCATACTTGGTATTTTCTGCTTTCTTCCTTTTGTGAAATTTTCACTGTTTAAAGAGAGAGAAAGATTGAATACGCTGTATACTCTCTCACACACATTTTCTCTCTTGTTATCTTCGCAATAAATTATTCTTTGATAAGAACCAGAAACAGAACTTGTCGTCACTCTGCGAATATATTCTTACAGTCATGTTTTACAAAATAAACCAAACAGAATGACAGGTTTCTTATGAAACTAACTGTTTCCTTTTCTCTTACATAACAAACTGTAAGAATATATTCGCAACGTGACGACAAGTTC